AAATGATTGAGGATAAAGTTTCAATTACACTCATAAATACATTCTGACTAAAGTAAGCCCATCATAGGGTCTTATAGTTCATATTTCAGAACTTACAATGACAATTTCCACTCATTCTCAATCAATGCAAATCTAAATCTGATATACACTAAACATAAAATAATAGAAACATAAATTCGGATGAATCTTTATGCATTAGACTCATCTTTGACTCGAGAAGACATCTTGAAATTGTATGCTCACTATGGAGTCATATAATTCCACTCATTCTCAATCAATGTAAATCTAAATCTGATATACACTAAAAAGAAAATAATAGAAACATAAATCCGCATGAATCTTTATGCATTGGACTCATCTCTGACTCGAAAAGACATCTTGAAAATGTATGCTCACTGTGGAGTCATATAATTCCCAAAGGAACCATAGAAATGTAGAGTTACATAGTCCAAATTCATTTTCAATGAAAAATAAGAAACATAATCACACAAGAACACAAAAAAATCAAAATAACATAATCATATAACACTCGACAAATAGAAACATCAAGAAAGAACGTATTATTAATGAGAAACACAGAGTACAAGAAAAGGTACCGAATAAAACGCGCAATCGAAGCCATCACGGGCTATCACCACCGTGAGTGTTCGCTCCAAAAGCTTAGAGAAACGAAAACCTACTCTATGGAAAGTGTAAACCCTAAGCTAAAAAAATGTAAAATTAAAGGTATCTGTTCATGTGTATGTTTACATGGAAGAAACCCCTTTATATAAGGTCGAAGAAGAAAAGAAAAGGAAAGGGGAAAGAAACTAGCCCTACACGCTTTAATAGAAAAACCTAAAAGTAGCCTAATTCTAAACAATTAGAAACTAAAAGAAGCTTAGAAAGACTCCTAAATACTAAAAGAAAATTGCAAATTTGGAGAGTTATCAGTGATCAAATAGGTAATATACAAAAGTATGCATCACAATAATCTTCCAATATCAAATATCCCACATATTGATCAAGTTCAAGTAATTATACCACAACACAACAAAATCTCTTTAATCAACTCCAACATACCAACTCAGATTATCAAACATTAACAAAATAGAAAAGAGGTATTTAACTTTCCTTACCTTTTTAAGAACTTAAACCAGCTCTAGAGAACCCTACTCTGCTCTCTCAACTCAAAGACTTCAAAGAACACTTACAGACAATGAAAACATGATCAAGATATACCATTAGAACCATTGATCAGTAGAGAACCTAATGGAAGGCTCAGATGACACATGCAGAGGAATTAAAGTCCACATGCAACGGAAAAGTGTGAGAGCTCAAGAAAAGAGTTGAAAATAACTCACTCTTTTGGACAAATTGATCGGATAAATTGGTAGACCTTGCCTCAAGGATCACAGAGACGCTCTCTGATCTTGAAACAGATGAGCAAGGTGCAAGAACCCTTAGAGAGAAGGCAAATGACTGTAGAAAAGTGGTTTATAGAGAGATTATGTGTTTTAAAATAATGAAACTCGTTTATAACAAATTCATTTATATTAAAACCTTTTTAATATTAAAATAATCGAGTTTCAATATTTTTAACTCATTACCACTTCTAAAATATCATTTTCTAAATCTTCACAACTTATTCACCCGTTTTTCAAGTAACAAGTTAACAAAATCAACAACAAATGTCTAAAGCTAAAGGCAAAAAAAAAGGTGCAATATAACATTTTTAATGCAATAAAATATTTTTATTTTTTAATTTAACCCAATGATCATTTGTCCCAAGTTTTAAACAAATTTATTTATTTTTTTACTCTTTTTGATTTTGTAATAAGGTTGGATGGTTTAAGTAATATTTGTGTTAATAAGAATTTTAATTATAATATTAAATTTTATAATACTCTTTATAAAATATCTTGTGCTTGTGCATATAATTTTCTTTCCAAGGTTACAATAATGAAGAATGATGCAATAACAAGCGAGTTTCTAAAAGATAAATAATGTGCAACACTTGATAATAGAACATATTCATTCAGGAGTGAAAACTTCTAACAAGAAAAACATGTTTAAACAAAACTTTAATCCTAAAAAAAATAGAAAATATCTGATATATGTATTGGGAGATTATGTTATATTATTACCGTTCATATTACTACGTTAATGCAAATACCAAGAAAGTTATCATAATAAACTCACGTTACATGATTAAAAGAAATTACATGAAGAGCTAACATCAAATAATGAAATAATCTTTTGTGACCTAATTTTTCATTGCCAACAATTTAAAACTTACGCCCTGTGCATATCTAGTAGTTAGTTACACATTACTATGTTCGAAAAAAAAAATATTAGCATTGTTACGAGAGGAAAATAAAAACAAAAAATTAAAAAAGATAAAATTAACTCACAAGTAAATTAAAGGAAGATTTAGGAGAAATTAATAGAAAACTAACTTACACATAGATTAAAGGCAGATTTAGGAGAAATTATAAAAAAATTTGGTCAAAACACATGATACAATTTCACTAAAGATACTTATAAAAATCTCCTGCTAAATATATTAATACAAAACCATTCTTCCTTTCTTAAAAGAAAACTAAGGAACATGAGCTGTTTATGCAATAGAATAATCTAGAGGCACAGAACCCAAAGTTTGTCCATAATGCATTCCAAGAAACTACATTGTACATTTGTTTATTGCATAGTTGGCAAATAGGTTTGGAATACTATGTTCGAATGTTGAGTCTTCTTTCAAAACTTAGATTATAATAAAGCAGAGAAAGAGATGCTGAGGACTTACAGAAAGCTTTTGTGTTATTTATGATTGATATATTTCCTTTTCCACCATCACCACCACCACCCACCCCCTAAAATAAAGAAGCCTTTTTCAAAACGTGATTCCCTTATTCTATTCTATTCATCCTTTAGCAGTTATCACCCTTCCAATCGAAATTCAAGATTGACCACTATTTTCTAGTGTTACTATCGAGTAGGTTAGACCGATCGGACATACTTGAGTAACTACCGAGTAGGTTAGACCGATCGTCCAAGGACGATGGAAGTGTTAATTAGACCGACCGGGTACGTAGGGACGGTCAAAGTCGATCATTCCCGGTCGGACGCCACTGTGAACTATTCAGCCGTTTGTCGGAGACAACCTTTGAATGTCAATGAATGCATAATTAATGATGTAACGGTCATTGTCTAACAGTTAAGGTGGACATTGATCGTCATTAAGAGATAAATTAATGGGTAATATTTCTTGAAACCCTATAAATAACAATTGATTGAGAATGTAAGCTCTCTGATTTTCTGATTTTACTAGACTTGTAGATAAATTCTGACTTGAGCGTCGAAGTGTTTTCTGTAGGTCACCCCTATTTTGACAGTAAGAAAGGAAGATCCAGACGGTAAGACAGAAACAACAAGAAGAACCGATCGACAGAGATGAAACATTCCCAAACAGAAGGAGCAGAAATTTTTCTCGTCCCAACAGCAAAAACATCTAGTTTTCTAGTTTCAATTTGGTGTACCCAATGTTCTTTACCCTTTCCATCACGATAGTCGAAACTAGGTCATAACTTGTTTTCTTAATCTTGGTTTAGATTAACACGATAAGATTTAACATATATCTTTTTCTTTTATCTTCTTTTGGATTACCATCATAAGATTTGACGTATGGCATCTACATTGATTGGAGAAGAATCTTCAATAGTCAAGAAGCAAATACAGATAAATAGGTTCTCGATATTGATTTTAAAAATGTTTAAAATAAGTTGGGTTGAATTTTGTGATTTAATTAATTAATTTGTGTATTTCAATTTATATAAGGGTGGGAGATGGGATGGTCCTTTGATTTTATATATAGATATTCTATTTTGAAGGATGGTTTAGTTAAATATTTTGTTTATATACGATGATGTTTTGTAAATTATTATAGATTATTGAGTAGAAGAATATTCTTAAGTGATTTATATTATTTATATCTATTTATGTAGTGAGCCAATTTATAAAGTCATCTAGTTTTATGTTGGCGGATTTGGGTTCACATTTTCAGTTCAATCTTAAACTAGATTTAGCTTAATCCTATAGGTTAAAAGCACTTTAGATTGAGTTAATATTTCCAATCACCTCAAGCCAAATATCAACAAAATAAAGACGGATTAAGTTAGGTTAACTCTTTTTACCCTCTAGTTTTTATATTGTTTTTTTCGTCAAAACTGCTAAAACTTTTTTGTGCATAAGATAATTTTGCTTAAAACCTATGAAACAATTGATTAAACATAAACAATCATATTCATTTCACATGTGGGCGTATAACCATGAAACACCTGTTTCTTCTCCATTAAATTAATAATTGATTGACAAATGATAGCACAACACATCAAACTGCTTCATAACTTCGTAATATTCATAGATATTTGACTTTTTATCTTAATATATAACTGTACTAAAATAAAAGTAATAAATTTATAATTTCTCATCAATTTATGACTATGCAACTACACAATTATATAAAAAAAGTACACACTTATAAATTTGCCCAGTAAAGTGAAAAAGAAAAGGACAGGAAATAAAATATAATTAGAGGTTTCTCGTAAACAAAAAATAGAATCTTTCATTTGTTTCTTTTTCATCTCAATATCTAGAGCATGCAGTAATACTATTGTTACCATGAAAGATGACAGGAAATAGAGTAAATGAAAAATAAATGAATTATCCAGTGAACATTCTTTAGAGAATCTTTGGGTCCTTCCCATTTGAAAATGACAGTACGAAATCCAGAAGATAAAATTATACGAAGCAGCCAAAGGCATTGATGCCCAATTTCCCCACTCTTTTTGTATTTTTTCCGAGTCTTCCTTCCAGATTTTCTACTAAATCGGCTTGATTGAGAAACCCAATTTTTAATTTTTTTAGCATAAAACTAATTTATTTTTTCTATCAGATTTTCACATTTTCCCATATCTCTCTAACCACAAAAATTTGGTGTAGGTGGGTTGGTTCATAATCTTTCCCAATTGCAAAGCCTAGTCACTCTCATGTTTCAACTTTGTTTTTGGGTTAGGGGTGTAAAAGAGGGATGGATGTTCCCTGTCTTGGCTCATGATGCTTCATGTGCTGTTTTTGTACATTTATTGCAAGGGGAGACTTTTGAACCCTTGCAATCCCCAACCCCTAAAGCTTCCACTTTTACTCTATCCTTTATAACTGCTTCTTCATCTTCTCTCATACCATTCCCTCTTTACTCTTTTGCCACCCTATTTCCTCCTCCAAGATCTATTTCACCAACTTTTCTATTCAATAAACAACCTGTTATGCTTTTTTCTTATCTCATTTTTCTCTATACTTCCACTAACTTTGTCATCTCACACTCCCTTCTTGTCTCTCTGATCTTTTGTATATTATCTTGTTCATCATGACCACCCTTTTGAAATTGTTGTCTCTTTTGGTGTTTCTTCTGATCCCAGTTTCATCCCAGGTTGAGCAGCTTCTCTATGCTGGATTCAAGGATGTGGGTGCTAGCAACCTGACATTGAATGGGGTGGCTGAGATAGAGAAAAATGGAATACTCAAATTGACTAATGAAACCAGCAGGTTAATGGGTCATGCCTTTTACCCATCTCCTTTTCAGATGAAGAACTCCACCACCGGTAAAGTTGTTTCCTTTTCTTCCTCGTTTGCTCTGGCTATTGTTCCTGAGTACCCCAAGCTAGGTGGCCATGGCTTGGCTTTCACAATAGCAACTTCCAAGGATCTCAAGGCTCTACCTAGCCAGTACCTTGGCCTTCTTAATTCCAGTGATAATGGCAACATCTCCAACCATATCTTTGCTGTTGAGTTTGACACTGTGCAAGACTTTGAGTTTGGGGATATTAATGATAACCATGTTGGAATAGACATCAATAGCATGCAGTCCAATAAATCTGCTAATGTTAGTGTGGTGGGTCTCAATCTCAAAGGTGGGAAACCGATTCTGGCTTGGGTTGATTATGATTCTGAATTAAGTGTTATCAGTGTTGTACTTTCCCCAAATTCATCCAAACCCAACACTCCAATCTTGTCCTTTAATGTGGATCTCGCACCCGTTTTTCATGACACTATGTATGTTGGGTTCTCTGCATCAACGGGTTTGCTTGCCAGCTCCCATTACATCTTGGGTTGGAGCTTCAAAATCAATGGACCAGCACCACCCCTTGATCTCTCTTCTCTCCCGATGCTTCCACAGCCAAAGAAAAAGCAGACATCTTTGATAGTTGGGGTTTCAGTCTCAGTTGCTGTTATTGTGTTATTAGCCATCGCCATTGGCATTTACTTTTACAGAAAAATGAGGAACGCCGATGTGATTGAAGCATGGGAGCTTGAAATCGGGCCACATAGGTACTCCTACCAAGAGCTCAAGAAGGCCACCAGAGGCTTCAAGGATAAAGAACTCCTTGGGCAGGGTGGTTTTGGCAGAGTTTACAAAGGAACATTGCCAAACTCCAAGATCCAAGTAGCCGTCAAGCGAGTTTCTCACGAATCTAAGCAGGGACTGAGGGAATTCGTGTCGGAAATTGCCAGCATAGGCCGGCTTCGCCACCGGAATTTGGTTCAATTACTGGGATGGTGCCGCCGCCGTGGCGACCTCCTGCTTGTGTATGATTTCATGGCCAATGGGAGCTTGGACAAGTACTTGTTTGATGATCCAAAGATGGTCCTAAGTTGGGAACACAGGTTCAAGATCATAAAGGATGTTGCTTCAGCTCTTCTGTATCTACATGAGGGGTATGAGCAGGTGGTGATACACAGAGATGTGAAGGCCAGCAATGTTCTGCTGGATTTTGAGCTTAATGGAAGACTAGGTGATTTTGGGTTGGCAAGATTGTATGAACATGGGGCTAACCCAAGCACCACAAGAGTGGTGGGAACATTAGGCTATCTGGCTCCTGAGTTGCCTAGAACAGGAAAGGCAACTACAAGCTCTGATGTTTTTGCATTTGGGGCACTTCTGCTTGAGGTGGCTTGTGGGCGCAGGCCAATTGAGCCTAAGGCATTGCCAGAAGAGTTGGTTTTGGTGGATTGGGTGTGGGACAAGTACAAACAAGGGAGAATACTCGATGTGGTGGACCCAAAACTAAATGGAAATTTTGATGAGAAAGAGGTGTTGGTGGTGTTGAAATTGGGGTTGTTGTGCTCAAATGATGTGCCTGCTGCTAGGCCTAGCATGAGGCAAGTGATGAGGCATTTAGATGGGGAAGTTGAAGTGCCGGAGGACTTGAAAAAACCAGGAGATATAAGTCAGCAGGAGGGGTTTGATGAGTTCTTGCACTCACTTGCATCTTCTTCCTTTGACAAGATGAGTTCAGGCTCTAATTTTGGAAACAGAGACATGGATAGTTTTCTCTCTTTTGCTAATTCACCTCATTCCCTTCTCCACAGAGGAGAAACAAGGTGATTCTGAGCAGAGATATACTTTCTTTACTAATCTTTTCTCACTTGAGAAATTTCGTGTGTTTTTAGTTCCCATATGCAAGTCTCATTATAGAAAGATTATGGATATGATGAAATGAAATGGTAAAATCTGTGACTCACTGTTCTTTTGATGTCCCTTGTTGGTACTCCATTTTGTTCTTCATTTCTTAACATAGCTGTGCAAATCATATACCATTTTGATTAGCATTTATTCACTAAGTTTTAATGTGCAATTGTGGGTATTGTTTTGTTATTAGGATGATACAAAAGGTGAGAATTGAAAAAGGATAATGTTAAATATGTGAAAAACAAAGAACAATTGAAGTAATGAAATTCGTAAAATAACAGAAGATGAATGGGAAAAATATCTTGAAGTTTTTCTTTTTCAATTGAAGTTGCTAACACAGCACGCCATTTCTTTTGGTTGGTGAGATATGTCTTTGCCTAAAATGGTTTTCTCTTTTTGGAGGGTGTTAGGAGATCACGATTCCTGGGCAATGTGATTTGATCTTATGTTTATTCGGTTGGTGTATTCCTTTTTACTGTGTTAGTTTCCTCTCTCAGAAAAAGTTTCAAATGGCTAATAGTTTGAGAAAAAGAAAATTTCTAAATAATGATGGTTAAGAAAAAAATAAGAAATCCTTAAACTTCAACTTCAAGAAAAAACAAAAATAGAGAGAGAAATAATTATACGATAACATTCGATTTTTATAAAGTAGTGTAAAAAAAATTATTTGGTGTAGCTTGGACAAAGACAGGCACTTTAAACAATTTTAACTTACCACGTCTTCTTCATCATCCTCTTAAACTAAAATGTATAAATTAACTTTTTCTCACTTTATAATCTCCATCTTGATATACAATTTTTATCTCAATAACTTGTCTAACTACTTAATAAACATATAAAAAATACTTAATTTGATCTTTATATTTGTACCTTGAAGTTGATGAAAACAATACTTAATTTAATCTGATTCTTTTCTATGGAAATTTACCATCTGTCACACATACCCATACAAAAATTCCAATTTATAGATTGTGTTTTGCATGGATTACAAACATTCCACGTTTTCTATCTCTGCTATGATATCCTTTATTACAAACGAGAAATAAGTAACAAAAAGGGAAACTGTAATTCCTTTTTCTTTTTTTTAATCTAAGGTACGTGCTCGATGCATAATATATTAACAAACAGTGAAATTGTAATTTCAGGATTTCCTTGCGTAAAAGTTGGAATACAAATAAACAGAAGTGGAGTAAAATCATCTAGGGACAAAAAGATAAATCTTTTCAAATGATTGGCGACAGAAAAGAGAATAAAGAAAAGGAAACATGCAGAATAAACAATAAATATATATATATATATATATACACACATATTTTCAGTAGTATAAAATTATTAAAATAAAACATTACATAGATAATAACTTATCAAGAATTTCAAATTTCCAATGAAGGAGAGTTTATACTTTGGAGAACAAAACTCTATTTATGATTTATGCCAATTTGTTAATTTGACGCTGAAAAGACTGAAAAAGAATCATTCCTAAGCTCACACCATTAAGATGATCATTGCAAAAGAGAAAACATACACAAAAACGAAAAATATAAAGGCAAGGGTAAGCTAGTGTACAAATAAAGTCTCAGATAATAATTTAGTTTAACAATTAACAACATTCAAGAACAAGCAATGCATAAAACCACAATACCACAATACTCACTTATCCGGATATAATGCTGATATAGACTACTGCAGGCATGCACTCATGGTAGTATTTATACTATGCAAAGTTATAAACAAGGGTAACTCGATCTACTCACCATGAGGTAAATTTTCTACTCCAAAAACCCAGAGGGCTTGGGTGAAGACCTCCTGCCATTCTCTCCGCCACCCCATTTAACTCTACATGAGTTAAATGGTTGGTAGAATGAGGATACTTGGGTACCGTAGTTTCTCTACCAAGCATTCTCTTACAACTTGGTAGAAAATAGAATCTTTCCTTGAGATTCTTCTCCTAACACACTTTTTTCATTCTCATATTACATTTCACACCACTTTCATTCTCATATAAACCATATATTTTTATATACATTGCATACAAACATATATACCATTGATTGTACTTCAAAGGACCATAAACAACACTAGTGCAGTAAAGGGAAACGACAGCGGTTATTTTCGCCTATCTGCACCGGTTCTGCAACCGAGGTATATACAGGCGAGGCAAAAAGTTTACCACTTTTTACCTCGGTTCTGAACCGAGACAAAAAGGTGTCTTCTTTTTCCTCGGTTCAAATGCAACCGAGGCAATAGAGGGTATTCCTTTTTTTTACCTTTTTTTTTCATCAGACTTTTGACCCTGGTTGCTGGTGAATCGAGACTGTAGAGTGAAATTAATAATGTGATGTAGGTTTGCCTTTCATATGGCATATAATGATAACAATTAACTAGTTGCCTTTAAAGGGCACACGAATAACGAACAATTTGAATTGAACCCATAAACTTTTTCTTTGTTGAAAAATCAATTGACAAACAACAAAAGCACACATTCTGGTGGTCCACTTGTTACCGATGTTTACCGTATTCTTTGTCATTGCTATATTAAAATATCCAAGGGTAAAGCAACAGTACTAAAATTCAATTCTCATCGAACCTGACCAAAGATTTGTGCTTGGAATTACTTATCACATGATGTTTCATAACTATACTCGGAAACCCCAGAAGAACCACAAGATTCCACCACTTTCTCCAGCAGCTCATCCTCACTGTCGTAAACAAACCTTGTGTGCTTCCCACAATCTTTCATTCGCACTGATGTTGTTCAACCCAGCACACAGTTCATCAAGTAAACACCCTCCATCACCATCTTCATTGTCGTAACACTCTTCATCCTCTTCAGCATCCTCGTAATAATTTCCTTCTTCCTCCTCCTCACTTTCTTCCTCCACGTCATCTTCATCCTGTGTGCTTGCAACATTCACTTGCATCGACCAAACACAAGCACCATCATCCTCAGTTGATCCTCCACTTCTATGTATCACTTCCTGATAAGTGACCCCAAAAGAGCATTCCAAAACCACCTCCGATTTGTCCGAGAAATCCAACAGCAAGGACCGTGTTATCACACTCTTCTCACCTTCAACCTCCTCCTTGTTCTTTTCAAATGATTCATTCACAACTTACCATCAGAAGAAAAACCCTTCAATCTTTAGTTTCAAACGAGACCATATTAAAATACTAAGAGAACCTAGGCACATACATAGGCGGTGGCTTCTCCACACGACTCTCTACATACATATCTGCATAATCAGATAACCTCAGTTACATTTTACACACTAAATTCTCTTCAAAATCAAGCATAAAACAGCAAAAAAATCTTGCAAATGGGTAATATACATTTTGTAAACAATGCAGAAAGTAATAAAATTGGGGATGGAAGTTGTTATCGAGAAGCTGTTACCGAGAAGTTGCTTCACTCCAACGCGTTTGCTTCCACTTCGTTTGCTCCTCTAGCGCGTCCCTCCTATGCGCCGCCATATCCAACTCCTTCCCTTACCTCAACGACATTGCCAAGCTGGCAGATACCCTGTTGGGGGACAAGGCGGTCCTCACTGCCCTCGAATACTGCAACACCAACTTCACCGCGTATTTCACTCCGACGTTCTGGTTCTCGCTCACCTTCACCGATTGGAAACCCTACTACTTCAACACGGGGTGATGGTCATCGATTTGGAGCGATGGCGAGAGAGGGATTACACCACCAAAATCGAGGAAGGGATGAAGCTGCAGAAGAGGATGGAATCTACGATTTGGGTTCTCTCCCTCCCTTCTTGGTTGTCTTTGCTGGCAACATCGCTTCCGTCGATCATAGGTGGAACCAGCACAGTCTCGGTGGTGATAACTTCTGTGGGCTCTGCAGAGATCTCAACCCTGGCCCTGTTAGTCTCCTCCATTGGAGTGGCAAAGGTAAACCCTAGGTTCGATTGGATGCTAACAGACCTTGCCCTTTGGACGCGCTTTGGGAAGCCTATCATATGTTGAACAATCCCTTTTCTTTAGATTCTTTAACACCATTCTTCAGCTCTCTATGGATTCTTCAGCCCTTTGAACGCGCTTTGGGCGTTTTGGGAACCCTTTTCTGTTGAACAATACATTTAGAGAGGGAGGATGACAAGCCTACTACCTCGGTTCTGAGTACAACCGAGGCAATATGCCTTTTTATGACATTTTGCAGAGTGTATTAGTATTTGGAGAGTTTTATGACTCGATTATTCACAAAACCGAGCCAGAAATCTTTTTAAAAAAATTTATGTCTCGGATGACCATGTAACCGAGGCGATACACCCTATAGGCATCGATTCTTATATGAACCGAAGAATACACTGTTTCAATAATTACATATATGCCACTGCATTTTATATGCTTCGGTTTTTACGAAATCGAAGCATATATAACGTGTTAAAAGGTCCTTTTTTTACTAGTGCAAAAATCAACTGAAATTATTCCATATATATTATTACACAAGAACAATCCAAAAAGAACCACTAAACAATAAAAAATCCATTTAAACTCACACTTAGACAAGGAAAACAACTTTGAAACCCTCACCAACAACTTTAGAAGGGTCTAAAACCCCAAAAACGACCTAAAGAACGTCCAAAACTAATACCTGGAACCCCGAATTTGATATTTTCAAAACCTAAAAAAGAAACCAATATTGTTGCGGTAGCGCTCAACGCCCAGAATCTACTGCTTAGCGCCAGAGCCACTAGAATGGTGGTGCTCAATGCTTGCGCCCCTGGAATAGAGGCAAGCGGTGCCAAAAACTGCCCCTCAATGCCATATCAGTTGACAACACATTGTTTTCATGGACTTTGATGCACTTGAGACTTGTTTTAATGATAAAAAAGATTTCTTACACACTAGAAGTGATGTGAAAACATGTTCATAACTAAAACAAGGTTCCTCTTTCATCATTGGACCCAAACTAGGTGCATTAAACCCATATGCAACTCCAAAAGTACCCAAATTCAAATCTACACTTTCTAACCCAAAACTCTGCAAACCAAAAGTATGAACAAGTCTTAAATGACTCAACAACAGACCTTAAACTCTCTAATTCAACCCAAA